CCTTTCAGTGAAATGAGACTACCCAGGATAAGGAAGTCAAGTCATGATGGCCAGTGTACTTTGTCAGCACGACAAACTTAAACATCTTTAATGTGTTTCCAGCCTTCAGGGTTGTTTTTTTGGTTTGTTTTTCTCACCTTAGGATTTAGTAAATTGAAATCCTAATAAAACATTTCATACTATTTGTTCTAAAGCAACTTATTTTCATAGGAAAATAAAAGCCAGCAGCATGGTTTAAATGGATAGACTATTATTACAAATGTATATGTAATTTGGTTCCCTGAGAACCTTGAAGTAGCGACTAATTATCTTTTGCAACTTGTAAGTTACAGCAGTCTCCATGAAACACACGTGACCATTTTGCCGTTTGGTAAAAGCAGGCCGTTAGCCTTCACATTCCCAGTACGTACATGTTGGTTGTTTCCTGTGTACTTGTGTAATCACAGTTGTTTGTAATTGCCATTGATAACAGCATTGCCAGTGTAGCTCGTTGTAGCTCTGTAGACATGTTAAACATGTTTAATACCCAGGACTTTCTTCTGAAAGTTGCATTCATTATTACAGTAGGCCAGGACACCTCTCAAATCCAATGCCATTCCATTTTCTTAATTCATACCATGGCCTATAGGCCAGGTTAACGAGTACTTCCATGTCTGCAAAGTCAATTTAGATCATCACTGCATTTTCTAAGTCATAATAATGCTTGAGTTTTGGATGTTACCATATTTCATGTATTGTGTTTGTAGAAGACAACAGAAAACCTTCATTCCACTCACTGTATGGCTGCTGCTCTGGCTCTTTAAAACTTGGAAGTAACTTTTCTTTAGCGCAAAGGAGGACATCTTTTAAGAGGCTAAAATCATGCTGCTATTATTGCTGTGAAATTGTATGAAGATTAGGATCCATGCTAGTCCCTTGTTTATTTAAAAAAACACAAAACTATGTGATTGCATTTTAAGGGTTTAAATTTAGAAAAAGGACGTTTTAGGAGCAACCCATTTATATGTGGAAATAATCTAGAAGATTTTTCTTTTGTTCCAGAATTAGTCACAGGTATCTATAAGGATGGTAGTACATGTTTTAAAGTGCTAACATGTAAGGTCTGTAGCACCTGGGCTTCTCTGTTAAACTGCAGACTCAGAGGCATGTAATCAGGGTGATGAGAGGAGATGGGAGGTGCTGCCTGGAGGGATGTGAGCTTTCATGAATATGCAGTGTTAAGGTTCCCCTTAACCTGCTGCTTGTGTCTGAAGCCCCTTGAGCTCACACCAGCCCTGCCAGTGCTCTCCAGCCACCTGGAGATGAGAAAGGACCAGTGGCATGAAGGAGGATGCTGGGTGCTTGTAGTGCCTGAGAGCCCAGAGGAAGTGGCTGTAGAAGGCCTGTCCAGCTTTAGAATTTAGATTCATTATCACACACACTGTATACTCCTAAAACGAAAGTCTTTACTTACAAGTGCTAATTAATATTAATGCCTCAAAGCAATTTCTTGTTAATAATGGTTTTTTTGGGACTGTCAGGTAAATATTTTAAATGCAGGATATTTTGAATGCCAGTTACTGGTACATGTGTGAGAGGTAAACTCTGGATCACACCTAGAGTTTGTTCCATTAAATATGTGTAGATACAGCCTTAACTTTGGAGCCAGTTATTTGAGGGCCTTTGCCTGTATATTTCCTTTTCCTGTTTGGTGGAGTAGAAATTGGTTGCTAATCACTGTGAGTCAAGTTACCTCAACATAGTTCACTTAATGTGTGACTTCACACATACAGAAACTGAAGGTTAGCACATTCACAATCCTAACAAGAGCAGTAGGATCCAGAGATGGAACCAACTTATACATTAGACCCCCAACATTTCTTTCTCTTAGTATTTTTAAAGCCACATCTCCTCCAGAATTTTCCCTTTTGGGCACAGTTCTAACCCCACAGCTTGGTTTAATTTAAATAATCCTTGGATGTCTGGCTAGAGACTTTGCTAACAATCCCAGAGCTGCCGTTTTCATTTACTGAATTTCATCCAGCCTTGTAGTTTATTTCGTTTCTTTTAAACATGAAAGTCCCAAGAGCAAAAAGATAGGGCATTCACATGTCTTACAAAGACAAAGCATTATTAACAACCATGATGACAAAACACAAGGTCAGAAAGAAAAATTCTAGGACTAAGAACTTGCTTCTGTGAAGAGAAGGAACCAGAAGTGTAAGGGGGACAGAAGAGTAAGATGTGGCATTTAATGTAGCAACAAATGCATCCAGTGTAAATCTGGAATGTGCCCTTAAGTCAAGGAGTCTGATAGGCCCATTCCTCTGTGTCCACACATGTCACTGTCTCCATGGAGTATATGAGCAATGAGTCACCCAAACAACGTGTTGAGAAAGTCGTAATGAAAGCAACAGTATGTCAGAAAGTTACTTCCCAACAGACGCATGCAGTTTTCAGTATTGTGTGTTACAGAAATGATAAGAATGGTTATTTTAACTGAGTGAAGATGATAATGCACAGAAGATCTTTTTCCTTTACTTGATCAGTGCTGTTAATGTTCAAAGGTTTTATTTTTTAAAAACTGGCTGTTTTACAGTTTATATTCTAATAGCAAAACCTGATTCTTTTCAACTATGACCTGCATGAGAGAAGCACCCTAGAAAGTCTTACTTAGATCATGCTTTTGAGTTCTTTAATTTATATAGCTTTTATGTTTTAATATTTTTGTGAACTGGTGTAAATTTGTTAATGCACATAAGCTTGTGTATTTTTGTAAATAACTTTGTGATTTTACTTCCCCCATGTAAATATTTAGAATCTCAGTTTTGTTTTGTTTTTTTTCCAAACTTATTTGAAGCTGATTTGTGGCTTTGGGGTTTTGTTTATTTGCTTTGGTTGGGGAGGGGGAGAGGGGACTTAACTCCCATAATCTAGTTGGAAATTCTTGTGGTTTAATACACATGTCCCACTGAAAGCAATTCAAATATCAACAGATTTATTTCAGGTTAAAACAAACGTGTATGTTTTCTTTTTGACTGCATGTGATTTACAACACGATGCAGTAATTGTGGTAGGTTCTTTGGACCAAAAGAGAGGTGTTTTTATATGCAAGCATTGTGTTGAACAGGAAAGGATACGATGTATCATATTTCTATCTTTTCCAATGGTATGCTCGCTGGTTACTTACCCCCCCATCCCCCATTCTCCCCAACCTCTGCATGACTATCTTTCGAATTACGAAAGTCTCAAATAACAGGGTGCTCTTGTGCCCTAGTGGATAAAGAATTGTGCTGCCAATCCAAATGTAGATGGTTTCAATCCACTAGCTGCACCTTGGGATAAAGATGGGCAGTCTCCTCCACTGTGATTTACGGCCTCCAAAAGCCCATGGAGTCCATTCCAACTCCATGACACATAGCAACTGATCTATATAAGAAAGTAGGCGGCAGTTTATACTCAGTTGTTGTATGCTGGCTTCCCAAGTTTGAAGTTCCCAGAAAATAGCATTTGCTTCCCATCTAAAGATTTCCACAAAGCATTGTTGGCATGCTTCCAGGTTAAAAAAAAAGTCTCCCAGATTGATCCCCTTTGGTGAACTGGCCAATTGCAAACACAGACACAGGTAGTATCTGAGAAAATGAGCTAAGCCATGAGCATAAGCACCTAGACTGCCCAGAAGCAGTTCCAGGTCTCATTCCTGTGCCAGAGTTCTTAAAAAAAAAAAAAAAGTACAAGTAACAGGAGTTTTTAAAAACATCTGTTCAAATACTGAGTTTTTCCAGAGAATCATGCATTTAATATATTTTTCATATTCTTAAAGGTATTTCTCTACCAGCAAGTACCTATTTTGGGTGACACAGAGGCATCAGTCACCTATTATACACTTGCATACCAGGCTCCTTGCTCTAAGCAAAGAGAACACCTAGTTTTAATAAGCATTCCCACACCTGGATATATGTTCCTAGGGAAGGAAACACAGTTTAAAACGGGATTTTTTAGAAGATATCCATGATGTTTTCACTAGGATCTACACTTAATTGTCTAGGACTTTGATTTGCATGCCAACTATTTCAAATTTCTTTCATACTGATGACATAGTGATAAGGCACTGCACTACCAATCTGAAGGCACATGGTTCAAATCCATCAGCTGCTCCGTCAGTGAAGGGTGATTGATCGTGTGCAATTACTATCTCTGAGAACTCACTGGAGGCTTAGCTATGGGTCGAT